TCTTGCTATGTAGCCTAGGCTGACCTTGAACTCTTGATCCTCCTGCCTCAGCTACCTGAGTACTGGGATTATGGGCATGTACCACTTACTATACCTACCTTTGTGTATTATTTATTGCAATGATAATACTTAAAGTTAGGATAGTGTAGTGTATGATTTTTAAAATCTTAAATCCCTCATTTAACTTATTTGTCCCTTTTCTTCTTAACCCCTAATGTCAAATATTTACTATTTTCTGACTTTTTAAATGTGCACTTATAATATTATTTGTATTACACTACTCTAGAAAATTATTCTCATTAAAAAAACACACTTATTTGTAGGAACATTAAAAAAATCTTAGTCATCCTCCTCCTTGGCCCCTCCTTTAGCATTTAATACAGCCAGCCATTCCTGCCTTTATTCCACTTGCTTGGTGTATTTGTTTCCCTGCCCTTTGTTAGTTGCTTTTCCATCTCCTGCTTCTAATTTTGGCTTCTCCCCAAGGCTCAATCCTTAGCACTGTGCTCTTCTTTCTTGCCTGTAAGCCCAACATTTCCCATGCCTTTAGCTAACACCTCTATGCATATGCCTTCTAAACTTCTCAGCTGACTCAGACTGGATTTTGGTATTTCCAGCTGCTTCAAGAACATTTCCATTTGTAGCTCCCTCACTGCCATTTTCAATTCAACATACTTAAAACTGAACTTCTCAAACCCACCCCTCCTATCCCTCATGACCTGCTTTTTTCTGTTAGTGGTGCACTATGGTTGTTCCACACCACAGCTTGAAATGCTGGATTGTTTGTGGGAGGAATGTTGAAATCTTGGAGCCACTGGTCTGGCGGAGCCAGCTTAGATGGACTCATGAGAATCAAATTTTAAATTTTCAGTAAAACATTTTTATACAGTTATATTTAAATTGTATTTAAAATAAATAATAAATACTCAAAGCTCTTCACATCATAGTTATTCTACTGCATGCTATTACTTTTATGCTCTTGAGCTTGATCGTCTCTGGTATATCTCTGATGGAAATACTATGGCATTACTGTGGATGTAAAGGCGTGCAACTATACATTTCTTCCCAATATCACAGCTCGAAATTAGTTGTGCTAGGAGTATTTATAGCATGGAAGTCAGCAAATATTATAAGTCTGAGCTAGGTGTCTTGCTTTTTGTTATTTGTTTTTGGGGTCTTGCTGTGTAGCCAAAGTGGTCTCAAACTTGAGATCCTCTTATCCCAGCCTCCCTGCCTTATAGGCATGCACTACCATGACCAGTCTTTCTTTTTTTTTTAAAGACAAGTCTCGTTATGCTGCCCAGGTAACCTAGAATTTATAATCCTCCTACTTCAACATCCAAAGTGACTGGAATTTTAGGCATGTGCACCATGCCCAGCTAGGGTCTTATTTTTTAACTTTGAACTTAAAAAGTGCTCATGTCTAGAGCCAATACAATATTTTTTCAGTATTTTCAAGCTGTTGTCCAATACATCATGAGCCTTTTCCTTCACCTGGGTAATCTACCTGTCACCTTTTTATTTCTTTACACACACATACAAATGTACATTTTGCACATTTCTACTTCTGTTTCTTTTTCCAACTTCTTTCTTTCTACCAAAATATGTACTAATCCTCCAAGTCCTATATCTTCTAGGAAGTCTTCCCATTCTACATTTTTTTTTTAAAGATAGTATCTCCCTATGTAGCCCAGCCTGGACTGGCCTTGAACTCTAGGTCCTCCTGCCTTAGCTCTGAAGTGCTAGGAATACAGGCAGGCACCATCACACCTGTGACATTCTGCTGTGAGTGTAGAACGGAAATTGACTTGGAAAAGATTAGTGTCCCAGTCATTATTAAAAAAAAAAAATCTCATCTTGCACTTGAAAACTTCTAGTACCTAGAAGTCCACTAGTTCTGAAGTAACCTTTTTTGTAATCTAGATATTTTATTTATGTAATACCGTATTCTTTCCATTTCACCGGTCTTCTTTTTTTTTTATTTTTATTTTTTTAATTATTCATATGTGCATACAATGCTTGGGTCATTTCTTCCCCCTGTCCCAACACCCTCCCTTACCACCCACTCCGCCCCCTCCCTGTCCCCCCCACCCCCTTGATACCCGGCAGAAACTATTTTGCCCTTATCTCTACTTTTGTTGAAGAGAGAGTATAAGCAATAATAGGAAGAAACAAGGGTTTTTGCTAGTTGAGATAAGGATAGCTATACAGGGAGTTGACTCACATTGATTTTCGGTGCATGTGTGTTACCTTCTAAGTTCATTCTTTTGATATAACCTTTTCTCTAGTTCCTGGTCCCCTTTTCCTATTGGCCTCAGTTGCTTTTAAGGTATCTGCTTTAGTTTCTCTGCATTAAGGGCAACAAATGCTAGCTAATTTTTTAGGTGTCTTACCTATCCTCACCCCTCCCTTGTGTGCTCTCGCTTTTGTCATGTGCTCAAAGTCCAATCCCCTTGTTGTGTTTGCCCTTGATGTAATGTCCACATATGAGGGAGAACATACGATTTTTGGTCTTTTGGGCCAGGCTAACCTCACTCAGAATGATGTTCTCCAATTCCATTCATTTACCAGCGAATGATAACATTTCGTTCTTCTTCATGGCTGCATAAAATTCCATTGTGTATAGATACCACATTTTCTTAATCCATTCGTCAGTGCTGGGGCATCTTGGCTGTTTCCATAACTTGGCTATTGTGAATAGTGCCACAATAAACATGGGTGTGCAGGTGCCTCTGGAGTAATCTGTGTCATGGTCTTTTGGGTATATCCCCAAGAGTGGCATTGCTGGATCAAATGGTAGATCAATGTTTAGCTTTTTAAGTAGCCTCCAAATTTTTTTCCAGAGTGGTTGTACTAGTTTACATTCCCACCAGCAGTGTAAGAGGGTTTCTTTTTCCCTGAATCCTCGCCAACACCTGTTGTTGGTGGTGTTGCTGATGATGGCTATTCTAACAGGGATGAGGTGGAATCTTAGTGTGGTTTTAATTTGCATTTCCTTTATTTCTAGAGATGGTGAGCATTTTTTCATGTGTTTTTTGGCCATTTGAATTTCTTCTTTTGAGAAAGTTCTGTTCACTTGCCCATTTCTTTATTGGTTCATTAGTTTTGGGAGAATTTAGTTTTCTAAGTTCCCTATATATTCCGGTTATCAGTCCTTTGTCTGATGTATAGCTGGCAAATATTTTCTCCCACTCTGTGGGTGGTCTCTTCAGTTTAGAGACCATTTCTTTTGTTAAGCAGAAGCTTTTTAGTTTTATGAGTCCCATTTATCTATGCTATCTCTTAGTTGTTGTGCTGCTGGGGTTCCATTGAGAAATTTCTTACCTATACCTACTAACTCCAGAGTATTTCCTACTCTTTCCTGTATCAACTTTAGAGTTTGTGGTCTGATATTAAGATCCTTGATCCATTTTGAGTTAATCTTGGTATAGGGTGATATACATGGATCTAGTTTCAGTTTTTTGCAGACTGCTAACCAGTTTTCCCAGCAGTTTTTGTTGAAGAGGCTGCTTTTTCTCCATCGTATACTTTTAGTGCTTCACCAGTCTTCTCATTCTGTGTTGTGAGCATCGTTCAGTGAAGCTGTTGCTAGACATGGAAAGAATGAGAAGACCTATGGCCATTTAACTCATAACTAACTCATAACCTGAGCTTCTCAGAACCTCAGCTTCCTGTGTTTCTTCTGTAGAATGAGGGTAATAAGTAAACTTCACAAGGAGTTGTGAAATAAGATTATGATTGACTATAAAGCATAATAGTTAATGGCAAAGACTCTAAAATCAGAAAGACCCTACTGGAACCAGTTTTTCAAGTTGGTAACCTTGGGCAAGTTACTTAATCTTTGTATCTTATTTCCTTATCTATAAAATGGAAATAATAATAATAATACTGACCTTAGAGTTGTGAGATAATATATAAAGCATTTTAGCCCAGTGTTTGATATCAACCACACTTTTTTCCAAGGTGAGATCTGTTTTATTTTTTCCATAAGGAAAATAATTCTTAAATTCACTATTAAAAGTATTTGATAGCCAGGTGCCAGTGACTCACGCCTGTAATCCTAGCTACTCAGGAGGCAGAGATCAGGAGGATGGAGGTTCGAAGCTAGCTGGGGCCAAAAGTTCCACAAGACCCTATTTTGAAAAACTTCACAAAAATAGGGCTGGTGTAGTGGTTCAAGCTGAATGCCTTGAGTTCAAGCCCCACTACAGCCAAAAAAAAAAAAAAAAAAAAATTGGTAAAAGAGGTTTTTTTTTGGTGGGTCGGGGGGAGCAGCGTGGGGTTTGAACTCAGGGCCTCACACTGGCCGGGCAGGTACTTCTACCTCTTCAGCCACTCCACCAGCCCAAAAGAGGGATTAAATTGGAGGTATACACTCTATGAAACATTTGATCCCTAGCATTTAGTTTCTTTTTGTAGCACTCTAGAAGGCTTTATTTTTTTTGACACTGACTGTGCTCATCTGTCCATTAACTATCTGATCACATTTTGGTCCATAGTAATTCCTGAGATGTTTCAGGATTATTAAGATTCTCCATCTCAAGCTGAGCAGTGGTGGATCACGCCTGTAATCCTAGCTATTCAGGAGGCAGCAGGAAGATCATGGTTCGAAGCCAGCCCAGGCAAATAGTTTGTGAGACCCTTTCTGAAAAACACCGAACACAAAAAAGAGCTGGTGGCATGACTCAAGGTGTAGGTCTGAGTTCAAATCCCAGTACCACAAACAAAAAAGATTCTCATCTACTTGTCTAGACTCTCTAGAACACTGTTCAGTGTTGTTTAGACTATGTGATAGAATGGCTTCAGTTTAAAAAAAAATACCCTTGAAGTGTTACCATTTCATATGTATTTTATTCCAACTAGAAAATTCCTGAATTTTATTATTATTGCTCTGGTTTCAAATTCTTAGTTCATACTTACCTTGAGCCAGAGATTCTCATGAAAATAATAAAATGATTCCAGAGCAGATAAAACCCAGCCTATTTTGCTTTCTACCCCAGGTCCGAAAGCACATCAGTGATCTTTATGAAGATCTGCGGGATGGCCACAACCTGATCTCTCTGTTGGAGGTCCTGTCAGGCATCAAACTGGTGAGTTTCTCTTTTCTAAAGAGTGGACTGCAAGTGTGGCCCTGGTAATGGCATATTGGTCCATTTCGTTGAGTTCTAGGTCAGCAGCCTTCTCTGTTTGCTCTATTAGGTGGGAGGAAGAAGTAAAAGAGATTGTTGTAACTCAGATTTATGGTTTACAAGTTAAATAATTTTAATGTGTGTATTACATATTTTTATCTTGACAAAATCAGGAATCAGTTATATTTCTTTCATACCAGTTTGCTGCTTTTCCCCCACCCTTTTTATTAGCATATATTTCTTGTACAGAGTGGCATTTGTTGTGACAATTCTGAATGTTTGTTGTCATCTTACTCATTCTTCATTTATTTCTAGGTACTAGGATTTCAGAAACATTAGATTTACATTTAAATGTTTTTGAGCAATGTTTTATTGCTGATCCGTATAGATTCCTCCCATTTTCCCCTCTATTGTGATTTGTTTTTTCCTGATTTCTTATACTCAGCTAAGGACCTGAAGTTTACATTTAAAAGCCCACGTGTTTGGACTTATTTTTTTTTCCCAGTTCATCTCACTTTCTCCCTTCTGTGACTCATTTTGTCTCACAGATGTAGAGAGGTGCTGAAGTTGATGTCTGAGCCTAGCCCTAGAGAGCAGGACACCTGAGCTCCTTGGGTAATTAAGTATGCTTGCCTTGTCCAAAAATGTATTAAACATTGCTTATGGAGAACACCTTCGTATCTGAAGGCAAATCCTGGTTGAGTCTTTTGGCTTGTCAGATGATAGTTCTTATATTTGTTTTACTAGAGGGATCAAAATAACCCTCTGTGGGCCATTGTTTTGTGTATTTGAGCCTAAAGGAAGCAAGTCGTTCATCTTTCTCTAGTGCCATAGACAATTTAATTTTCATTTGGAAAAGTCCAGGTTGAATATCTGTGGGGAAGAGAGACCTGAGGAGATGTACAGTTTGGGCACTTTGCGAATTCTGGCCCACTCACTGCCTTTGGTGGGTTCTTAGTCATTGTTTGGTGTGTTAAAGAACAGAATTTGGCACATTGATTTCACTGCTTAAGTGATAATTCAGCTCCTTCTAGGATTGGGCTTGGCTTCCTCTGGGCCTTTTGTTTTGGTTCTTTTTTTTTTTTTTTTTAAACCTTGCAGTAAAATTGATTTTATATTTTTAGTAGCCAAAAATTGTCAGGAGCTTTTATTAGCATAGCTAGCACATGTAATTTCTCCTCTGCTCTCGTTTATAAACCCAGTAAGTAATCAGAATTTCATTTTCACCATGCTGGACTTTATTCTTCAGCATTTATAAACTATGCTTTATGTAATATGGTTGGTATATTTGATGAACTAATAGTGATTTTATATTGAATGTGATCCTTTTTGATGATATTTCTTACAAAACAGGGTAAAATTATTCCTATCTAATTTCTTTTGAAAACCTTCATGTATTTATGGCTACACTGATAGGATACCATCTTTTCACCAAAAAGTACCCAGATATCCCTTTCACAGTTGTTCTCATCATCTGTTTCTCTCTTTGTTGATTCACAAAAGCAGAGAGGATAGGTGGCTTTGGGGAATTAAAGATGTGCTTCGACATCAGAAATGTTCAGTGTAACCATGTGCTCTGGTCTTGATTTGGTTTTGTATCTCTTTTGGAGGTAGGAGGTTATCTCCATATTCTTTTTTTTTTAACGTTGCGTTCATTTTCATTTCATTTTTGTCTTGTAAATTTTCTATTCCTTTGTTGTGTCTTTGCCTTGGTTGGTGGCCAAAGGAGCCAGCAGGGCTGAAGACCCTCCGTCTTGTGAGCATGCCCTCCTGGCGCCATACAAACAGCGAGGAGCAGGATGAGGAAGATGATGATGATGTAGTAGGTCCTCCTGGCACTGCAGGGCCATCGGAGAGGCCACGGTTCTCTAGGTCTCCTAGTAGCTCAATCACCAATTGCTTTCTCCTCTTTCCACCTGGAAATATGGGTCCCAAAGAAAGTAATTAAAACTAATTGTGCCTCTTGCCACTGTTAGATGATCCTAGAGTGGGAATTGTTTTGCTTATCTGAGAATAGTTGGCACAAAAAGAATTATGGTGTTTGGAGCTGTTTAAGACCCTTTGTGACTTAGAGACCCATGGCTTTCTGGTGGCCTTGTTGTGTTATTTGAGTCCAGATTGCAAAATTGTGAAAATTTACCTGAAAGCATGATGATTAATTAATTGCTCACAGCTTCACAGTGCAGACTAACTGGTACTTTCTCTCCATTCCTCTGGCCTCTAGGCTCTCACCATATGTCTGGCATTTGTTTTCAAAACAGCCTGTTTGCAAACTCACTGCATGGAGATACTCTGGTCTTGATCAGTAATCTCTCTAGTTGCTATAGAGCAGAGATTTAACTTGCATGTTCTGAGTATCTTTATTTCTGGTGGATGGTACGTTAGGAATAAAGATTAGTGTGTATAAAAGTTTTATTTTCTGCTTATAGGCTCTGAATTATAACCTATAATCTTTCTCCATAAAAAGGGATTAGGGATATCCCCATTCCCTGTCCTTTTAAAGTCATCTTTTCACCTCATTGATCCTTCTTCCCATTGTTTTAGAATCTTATCTCCTCTAAGTGATATTGATAATTAATTTAGCTGAAATAACTGAGAAGAGGTTCTTGCTAAAACGATTTTTCTTAAACCTTTTGACTTAAGAAGTTATTCGGTTGCCCAGAAAGGTCTTGGCATCACTGTAGATGATCCTGTTTGGTGAATGTGGCGTAGACGTGTTGGAGAGTGCCAAGAGAGATATTCCCATCCATATCTTTCCATGTGTTGGGCTACTTTTTGCCTGTTTCAGCCTAGGGGAATGTTTGCTTGTCCAAATATCTACCACAGACCTACCTTATATTTTTTCAGCTTTTAATTAGTACAAATTTGACATTTACAAATGAACTTGGTATTATCTAGTAAGAGTGATGTTTTAGTCCTGGTTTTAGTAAAAAAAAAACATCAGAAAGTAAGCAGAAGAATATGTTAAGAGGCGGATGGTCATTCCTGTACTGCTAGATAGTCAAACAGACCCTATTTATTTTCCAATAGGTAATTAAGCCTTGGACAAGGTGCCAGAGAACTGGATGGAGACAGCTTCTCTCCATCAGTTATGTGATGTGCAGGATGAAGTGGCAGAAAATAATTTTCTCTGTAGTAATTGTGTTGAACAACCCTCAAACCCATCAAGGTTTTGATTGCTTGGGCTTTTCATTCTGGGATAAAGGGCTGCTTTCCTACAGTGACAGCCATCTCCTTGGGAGACTGGTTACTTATGATTTTTGCCTACCATTGTGGATTTCTTTACTTTTTTTGAGCATAGGTAACTCTTCATTCCCTGTAGGTAGAAATTGGTTAACTCCCTCTCATCAAGCTCCTTTGGTCAGGATTGTAATAAGGTTGCCTTCATTCATTATTGTGCAGTATGTACTTAGGACTTTCTTCATTTTGCCTACAATAGCATTTAACTGTGATTTTAGGAGCCATAGAGCCAGTCTATGTTCCCATTAACCTCACATCCAGAATCAAGCTCTGCTACATGGTACTACAGAGCCTTGGTGTTCAAATAGGGTTGTGTGTTTGTGGAATGCAGAGTGGTGCACAAGGAATTTTGGGGCTGCGGAGAGCATACTGAAACACATGCAGGTTCCTGCTTTAAGGATGCTTTATGTTGTGCTCCCACACCTGGCCTAGCCACGAGGAACTCTTGTATGGTCTTTTAGTCCTTGAAATGAATGAGGAAAAGGTATGTGTGGGTAAACTGACACAGCTAAAATTAGCATCCTTTTTCTTCATTTGCAGCCTCGGGAGAAGGGCAGGATGCGTTTTCATAGGCTGCAGAATGTGCAAATTGCTCTGGACTTCCTAAAACAGCGACAGGTAAGACCACTTCATGTTTTCACCATTCTGGCAGGGAGTGTTGGCATTGGGGCCCTATTTAGGGATCTTTTCATGCTCTTAGCAATAGTAAGCCCTCAGTAAATGCTAAGTCTGACCCAGTTCTGACTCTTAACTTGCTCATGAATGATTCTGTTATGGTTGGATAAATCATTTGGTAGTCCTTAGATAGAACTTGTGGCCTCCTTGAGAGGTACAGTGTTCATAAACAAAAAGATGCTAAAGTAGAAACTTGGGGTTTCACTTTAGGTAGAGGTCAAAGTGAAGATGAAAACTACACAAGCAGAATCCAGGCATGGTGGCTTATTCTTATAGTCCTAGCTACTTGAGAGCCAGGCTAGCTCTGGCAAAAAGTTGGCAAGACCCCATCTTAACTGATAAAAGCTGGCATGTGCCTGTTATCCCAGCTATGCAGAAGCATAAATAGGAGGATTGCAATCCAGACTGGCCTGGGCATAAATCGCAACACACTTTTTGAAAAATAGCTAAAGTACAAAGGGCTGGGAGTGTGGCTTAAGTAGTAGAGTGCCTACGTAGCAAGCTCAAGGTTCTGAGTTCAAATCTCAGTACTTTTTTTTTTTTTTGTTATTATTGTTTGTTAAAAAAAACAGTGAAGAATAAAGAAAATGAAGGGAAAAACATGACGCATCACAAAGTGGTATATTGAGTGTGGTGATGCACGCCTGTAATTCCAGCACTCAGGAGCCTGAGGCAGGAGGATCAAGGGTTCAAAGCCAGCCTGAGCCACATAATGAGACCCTGTCTCAAAAAAGAAAAACAAAAAAAATCACCCACAATATGCTTCATTGTCATGAAAAATGGGACAAGGGAGTACCCTGGATTGTTGGATGCCATATCTATCAGGGCTGAGAAAAAGGTCCTAGTTATTACATAGTTGTGACTTTTTTGTTTGTATTTTGCTTTGTGTGTGTGTGTGTGTGTGTGTGTGTGTGTGTGTGTGTGTTGCTGGGATTGAACCCAGGCCCTCATGCTCAGTAGACAAGCACACTGAACTACATCCCTGGCTTATACAGTGTTGACTTAAGAGAATGGTTTTATTTTTTTTAATTAAGTAAATAATTTTTATTATTTTGAGACAGGGTCTCACTGTGTAGCCCAGGTTAGACTCAAACTTAATGATCCTCCTACTTCAGTCTCCTGAGTGCTGGGATTACAGGCACGCACCACCACACCTGACCAAGAGAATGGTTTTAATCGATAGAAAATTATTTGGAGTATAGTAGGCCTAGATGTAGGAGGGTGAATGAAGTTATCACCTCCTTATATAAGAAAGGAAGATAGGACATTTTTAGATGTAAGAAGAGAAGCCAGTGAAGAGAGTAAGGTTGAAAATGAATGAGAGGAGTAGTATTAAGAGTTCACTCTGGAAGATACCTTAAAATCCATTAGTCTGGTTTCTTTAGTGTTTTAGATGAAGAGGCTGAGATCTTGACTGCTGAGATGACTTCCCCAAATCATACAAGTTAGAGCAGAACTGGGACATTAACGCTGACCTGACATGGGGGTTAGTGCTCCTCCTGCTGTCTGTGCCATGCTTTCCACAAACCTTCCTTCCTCCCATTGCTTCCTAATTGATGGAACCAAATCCAGGGATTGGAGTGAAACCAGAGCACAGCTGGTGTGGTTGTCTTTGAAAAAAAAAAAGAAAAATGCCTCTTGTTCTGAGATAAAGGGAGGACAGAATATGGGTGAAGATACAGAGATGGCAGGTGGTAGGGAAGAAGATGGAAGTGGGAATCAGAGGGTCCATCTTCTCAGAGTGAGCTGTACGGAAAAGATTTGGTGTAGCTGGGGTTGCTAAACAATAGCAAGGGCCAACATGACATTAAATGGTATGCATGTTTTTGAAGTCGGTTCATTTTTGTTGCTGTTATCCACAATTCTCATTAACTTCAGAAGTTATCTTTCTCTGTGCTTTCATAGCAATGTTCTAAAGTAACATGTTTTACTTTATTGTTATTTCTGTTTGCTCCACTGTTCTGTGAGGTCAGAGAACATGAACTTACTTAACATTTTACATTCAGCACCTGTCCTAATGAGTGGTCCATAATTGGCACTTGAAATAAATTAAGTGAAGAGTGGTAGAAATGTCAGTTACTGAGTGTCTTGGGTACTGGAGGACACAGCATTGAAATGTTTGTGTGTAGAGTTAGAGGAACCTCAAGGGGGCCTTTAATGGACAAGATAAATTGAGAAGAATTGATTAGCTTGAAGTGTAAATAGGGACAAAGGGTAAGGTTTGATTACTGTGATAGAATGAAAATGTGGACTAGTAAGAACTGTGGAAACAGAGAAGGGTAGGGGGATCTCCAGAGCAGTTCTCAGTAATCTCAAGTTGCAGCTTTGTGGGTGGCGAAAGTAGAGCAAAAGGAAAACCTTTAGAATCTTTGAGAAGGCAGACATATCTATGCAAATAGGGTGATATTTGGGTCATCAACATAAATGTTAAAATTGCTAAAAAAAAGATGGTAGACAGTGAAGTAGGAAAAGAGAATAGGAGTTAGATGCTAGTAGAGATTGGAAGGTTGTCTGGCCAAGGGACTTTCCATTAAAATGGGAAACCTAACAAGTGGAACTAAGAAATGTGAACTTGGCTGGTACTGCCCACCCACTGACTGTGAGTTGTTAGTGATTGGTGACTAGAACAACCGGATTCTCAGACTAGAAGGGGTCCACCCAAACCCCAGTGTATAGAAAAGGAGCCTGAGGTACAGAAAAGAGAAAGGACTTTCCCAGGTAGACACAGTGTAAGGAAGAAATGAGGCTTCTATGCGGTAGATCACGGGGTTCTTCAGAGGCACAAATTTCAGTTCAATAGAAGAGAAGAGGGAGGGCCTGTCCTTCCAGTGTGTTACATTTGAATAGGAGCTCTGTGAGGATTTTGGTAAAAAAAGGCTAACAGGGTTGAGAAAGGGTGCTTTGCCCAGGACATACCTAGTTTTAAAATCCCATGTCCCAGGAAACCCCTTAGTCTCCAGCACACTGAAACAGTTGGTCACCCTAGAGGGAGGGAAAGGCCTGTATGGCTGTGCACATTGTGATTTTTGAATTGGGAGTAAAGCAGGGATGGGCGGCGTAGCAGTTGGGGATATCTGTGACAAATATGGAAAAATGGAAGCAGGCCAAAGACTGCAGAGGGACAAAGAGGAATCTCTCTTAACTTCAAAATAAGAAAAGAAAGAAAAAGTTAGGGCTCTGATGAGTTAATAAAAAAGCAACTGAGAATACTATGTGCTTACAAGGTTGCTGGTGGACATGCAAAATAGTACAGGTACTCTGGAAAATAATTTGATGGTTTCTTATAAAGCTAAACATATATCATATGACCCAACAATGTCAGTCCTAGAAACTGATCCTATAGAAATGAAAACATATGCCCACACAACAAGCTATTCATGAATGTAGGAGCTGTATTCATAATTGTCCAAAACTAGAAGTAACCCATAAGCTCTTCAATGGAGGAGTGAATAAACATAGGTTAGTATATCTATGCAATAGGATGTTACTTAGCAATGAAAAGGAACAGACTTGATTCATGCAACAACTTAAGTGGGATTCTCAAGGGGATTGTGCTGAGTAGGAAAAAAAAAACAACTCAGTAATCAAAGGTTATATACTGTATGATTCCATGCATATGACATTCTAGAAAATGCAAAATGAAGGGCCAGGAACAGATCAGTGGTTGTCCCAAGCTAGGAGTAGGGCAGGGTTTGACTGTTAAAAAGAGTGTAACACAAGGGACCTTTTTGAGATGATGGAACCATTTTGTGTGGTGGTCATGAATCTATACATGTGTTAGAAATCATATAATTTTACACCAAAAATCTAATTTGACTGTGTGATAATAATAAAAAACATGTAAAACAAATCAAAACAAAAGTCCCAGTGCTCTTAAGACTGGCTTTCTTTTTCAGGTGAAGCTAGTGAATATTCGCAATGATGACATCACAGATGGCAACCCCAAGCTAACCCTGGGCCTGATCTGGACCATTATTTTGCACTTCCAGGTATGGTCTGTTTCAGGGTCCTTGTTGCTTTGAACATGGTCTTCTAGAGAAGAAGGCAGAATTTGAGCCTTCTTTCTCTGTATTTGGCAGTGAATCAGGATGGGTGAGAGTTGGGAAGGAAAATTAAGATTGGCTTAGAGACAAGCTTCCTAATTATTTACATGGTGAAATGGAGAGGTTTTTTACCTGTTTGTGGTTTGCCCTGTCCTTGACAGTTTGGTATTAGGAGCCTATTTGCTCAGCTAATTCAAAATTAGGCTTTTTAGGGTCTCAGAGTATGAAAGGTAGGGGGAGATGTTATTCTTGGTGCTATAGAAGGGTAGCACAAAGGAAGATAAAAAATCCTGCTCTGATGTAGACTTTTCCTCATTATTAATGGTCTTTAAACAAAACTGGTTAATTGTAGCCCTTTAATAGCTGGGTTTGCATATATGTATGTGCTGGTAAACAGCACAGCTTTGTAGTGCCCGTCACACCATCAAGCTGTGCCATCTTGGTCATATGGCCTTCCTGTTGGCTTCTTCTTCCTTAGATTGCAAATCTGTTCAAAGTCTGGTTTGTTATTGGAAAAGAGCAGTCCTGTTTTTATTTAAAAAACAAAACAAAAACAAAAGGCTATTCTTTTACATCACTTTTAGCCCAGCCAAACAAAGCTATTTCTCAGACTGCTCTCTAGTACCCAATTGCTGCACACTGGACTGATGGATTAAGGGGAGCACTTTTTCAGCAGGTGGAAAAAGAAGGCTCCTTATAGTAGTAACTCAAGGTGCTGACTCCAGGGGCCAGGCCAATGTGATGTCCTATTTGAAGAATTATCACCACCTTCTGGTTAAAGGCAGAATAGCAGGAGTATCATAATTCCTAAGACCCTGACAAAATTGTGAGAGCACAGGCTTGTTTCTTAGGGCTCTGGTTTGGAACCAATGCTTGCATTCTGCAGCATGGGTAGGGTTAGGAATGTGTGGAGGTGACATGTATTTTTGTGGAGTCACAGAGGGTCTTGAGCAAGCAGTAAGTGTAAGCTAAGGTTAACCAGGAATATGAACTTGGTGAATGTGCCCTGGCAAGGTGGGAACAAGTATTTCATTGAGCCTCCATGTAAGACTCGAGCTGCCCCCTTGAAACTCTTAGGAACCGAGGATAGTTTGTGTGTGTGTGTTTGTCTGTTTTATTTTTTTACGGTACTAGGAATGGAAGCCAGGGTCTTGAACATGTTAGGGAAACACTCTAACACTGAGCTTCATCCCTGGCCCCCGAGGAGATTTTTTTTAAGAAAAAATTTTTTGTGACTCTTTGGCCACAAACCTGCCCTCACAGTGAGTATTTAATGTTAGTGTCACAGGCATGAGGTGAGTCTGTTTATTCTGACTGTAACTAAATCTCTTTTAAAAAGGGGAAACTTGGGGGACACAGAATGAAAACAGAATTGGTTAACTAAAACTGCTCTGATAGGGGAAGTAGGGGTAATGGAGTGGTCCTTTCCAGAGCAGGTCCATCAGGAAAAATTTTTTCTCTGCATAAAAATTGTTATAGGGCTGGGCTGTGACTCAGTGGTAGAATGCTTGCCCTGCTGCATGAGGTCCTGGGTTCCATCACCGGCACAGCAAAAAAAAAAAAAAAATTATAAAAGTAGAAAAAATAGTACAGGTATATAGAGCTACCATATACCTGTCACCTAGCTCGATACTTATTAACTCATAAAAGTTAAATAAAACCTCATCTGTAATCTTTTTTTTTCTCATCTGCATTCTTACTCTCACTGCTTATTTTGAAGGAAATCCCAAACCTTGTATAATTTGTTTGTAAACATTTCAGTGTTTATCTCTGAAAGATAAGGACCCTTTGTTTAAGCAAACCATAATATCACACCTTAAAAATTAATACTTTTAGTTCAATCCTCAGCACCACAAAAAAAAAAAAGTAAAACTTTTGCAAAAGCATCAAATGTCTGACCATTGTTCAGATGTTCTCATTTAAAGAATAATTGGTTTGGATTAGAATCCAAACAAAGTGTACATATTGCATTAAATTCTCCCGTCCCCTGAAATTTGTTGAGGAGATCAGTCTTTTGTCGTAGAAGGCTTGTTAAGATACTGATCACATCTCTGGGATGTCTTTCCAACAGTGCTCTCCATCCCTGTATTGTACTGTCCAGAAACTGGCAGTATAGCTCTAGACCCAAGTCTCGATCATATTCAGATTAAATTGTTTTCTTTCAGAAACTGTCAAAATATCCCTATTTGCAGATGACATGATCCTATACCTTAAAGACCCAAAAAACTCTACTCAGAAGCTTCTAGACATCATCAATAGCTATAGCAAGGTAGCAGGATATAAAATCAACATAGAAAAATCATTAGCATTTCTATACACTAACAATGAGCAAACGGAAAAAGAATGTATGAAAACAATTCCATTTACAATAGCCTCAAAAAAAATCAAATACCTAGGTGTAAACCTAACAAAAGATGTGAAAGATCTCTACAAGGAAAACTATACACTTCTGAAGAAAGAGATTGAGGAAGACTATAGAAAGTGGAGAGATCTCCCATGCTCATGGATTGGTAGAATCAACATAGTAAAAATGTCGATACTCCCAAAAGTAATCTACATGTTTAATGTAATTCCCATCAAAATTCCAATGACATTCATTAAGGAGATTGAAAAATCTACTGTGAAATTTATATGGAAACACAAGAGGCCACGAATAGCCAAGGCAATACTCAGTCAAAAGAACAATGCAGGAGGTATCACAATACCTGACTTCAAACTATATTACAAAGCAATAACAATAAAAACAGCATGGTACTGGCACAAAAACAGACATGAAGACCAGTGGAATAGAATAGAGGGCCCAGATATGAAGCCACACAACTATAACCAACTTGTCTTTGACAAAGGAGCTAAAAATATACAATGGAGAAACAGCAGCCTCTTCAACAAAAACTGCTGGGAAAACTGGTTAGCAGACTGCAAAAAACTGAAACTAGATCCATGTATATCACCTATACCAAAATTAACTCAAAATGGATCAAGGACCTTAATATCAGACCCCAAACTCTAAAGTTGATACAGGAAAGAGTAGGAAATACTCTGGAGTTAGTAGGTATAGGTAAGAACTTTCTCAACGAAACCCCAGCAGCACAGCAACTAAGAGATAGCATAGATAAATGGGACCTCATAAAGCTAAAAAGCTTCTGTTCATCAAAAGAAATGGTCTTTAAACTGAAGAGAACACCCACAGAGTGGGAGAAAATATTTGCCAGCTATACATCAAAGGACTGATAACCAGAATATATAGGGAACTTAAAAAACTAAATTCTCCCAAAACTAATGAACCAATAAAGAAATGGGCAAGTGAACTAAACAGAACTTTCTCAAAAGAAGAAATTCAAATGGCCAAAAAACACATGAAAAGATGCTCACCATCCCTAGCAATAAAGGAAATGCTAATTTAAACCACGCTAAGATTCCACCTCATCCCTGTTAGAATAGCCATCATCAGCAACACCACCAACAACAGGTGTTGGCGAGGATGCAGGGAAAAAGGAACCCTCATACACTGCTGGTGGGAATGTAAACTAGTACAACCACTCTGGAAAAAAATTTGGAGGCTACTTAAAAAGCTAAACATTGATCTACCATTTGATCCAGCAATACCACTCTTGGGGATATACCCAAAAGACTGTGACACAGGTTACTCCAGAGGCACCTGCACACCCATGTTTATTGCAGCACTATTCACAATAGCCAAGTTATGGAAACAGCCAAGATGCCCCACCCACTGACAAATGGATTAATAAAATATGGTATCTATACACAATGGAATTTTATGCAGCCATGAAGAAGAACGAAATGTTATCATTCGCTGGTAAATGGATGGAATTGGAGAACATCATTCTGAGTGAGGTTAGCCTGGCCCAAAAGACCAAAAATCGTATGTTCTCCCTCATATGTGCACATTAGATCAAGGCAAACATAACAATGGGATTGGACTTTGAGCACATGACAAAAGCGAGAGCACACAAGGGAGGGGTGAGGATAGGTAAGACACCTAGAAAATTAGCTAGCATTTGTTGCCCTTAACGCAGAGAAACTAAAGCAGATACCTTAAAAGCAACTGAGGCCAATAGGAAAAGGGGACCAGGAACTAGAGAAAAGGTTAGATCAAAAAGATTAACCTAGAAGGTAACACACACGCACAGGAAATCAATGTGAGTCAATGCCCTGTATAGCTCTCCTTATCTCAACCAGCAAAAACCCTTGTTCCTTCCTATTAGTGCTTATACTCTCTACAACAAAATTAGAAATAAGGGCAAAATAGTTTCTGCTGGGTATTGAGAGGGTGGGGGGGAGCGGGAGGGAGTGGAGTGGGTGGTAAGGGAGGGGGTGGGGGCAGGGGGGAGAAATGACCCAAGCCTTGTATGCACATATGAATAATAAAAGAAAAAAAAAGAAATTGTTTTCTTTCAGCCTAGTACCATTGGTCACACCTGCAATCCTAGCTACTCAGGAGGTGGAGATCAGGAGGTTAGTGGTTCAAGGCCAGCCTGAGCAAATAGTTAGTGAGACTCCATCTCAACCAATAAAAAGCTGAGCATGGTGGTGCATGCCTGTTATCCCAGCTACAGTGGGAAGTATTAATAGGAGGATTGTGGTTCAGGCCATCCAGGCATAAAAGTGAGGCCCTATTAGAAAAATAACTAAAGCAAAAAGGGTTGGGGGTGTGGCTCAAGCGGTAGAACATCTGCCTAACAAGTATAAGACCCTGGATTCAAAACATGGTACTGCAAAAAAAATTCAAGGATGATGTGACATGTACTTTTATTGCTGCACATCTATTGTCTCTCTTTTTGGCATGTTAAGATTGATAAGTGGCTTCAGGTATTACTAACCTGATCACTCTTAATTATTTAGTTGGAATACTTCTGTAATGAAGAATTTCAGCTCATCAGTGATCCTGAGGGATAATTTCTATGGGAAAAGCAAAATAAATGATCCCATCTTGCCCTGTATTTGCCAGTTTTCAGAATAGTTGGTTCTCTAAGATTCCCAAAGGCGACCAGTGAATGTTTATTGATCTTATTCTTATTTATTTATAGTATCACTACAACTCCTAGATTTTTAAGACTTAATGTGTTCCAACCAACATTCTCCTAATATTCAAATAACTGCATCTTTGGCCAATATGAGCCTTTCAGGTTGCCCCTGAGTCCTGTGACATGAACCTAGCAGTCTTTGATAATTTCCTTTATTTCCTGTATGAGGAGATATCTTAGGTGTTTGCATCTAAGGCAATTTTTGTATAGTTCCTGTCCCAGGCCTGAAAATGTCAATTTTTTTGTAAGCTACCAATTCTTTATTTTTGAGCATAATCTGAATAGTCATTGCTCATTGCTTCTAGGCTTTTTCTATAGACAAAGCTAGATATTGTATTTATCTCTTTAAAATATCATGAATTTACACTGACATTTCTGATTCAAATTCAGGATCCCAGAGTTTTATTTAACTTCTTTGACTTTATGTTTTATGTTTATATCTGACTTTGTATTCTTTTTTTTACATTGAAATGCTTGATCCTAACAACAGTGACATGGTTCCCTTTCCATGCACACATAAAATCATAGGTATTATACAGTAGTGTCATGAATCAAAGTGACAATAGCAATGTTGTTATTAACAGATGGTTACTTATGTGTTTGCAATTTCTTTTCAGTTCTTTTTGTACTTAAGAAAATGTAAAGTCCTGTAAAATAATTTCTCTGTGTTATTAAGCCACCAATTTAATGAAGAATAAGGTTTATCAAGTGGTTTTACCACTTGAGCCACTCTACCAGCCCTGCTTTCAGTTTTTAGGGATTGCATGTATTTTTTCCTTTGAGTTTTATTTTACACTATATGGATCATTCGCATTGTTCCAAATGGAAATTTCTTTTTTTTTTTTTTTTCATTTTTCTTTTATTATTCATATGTGCATACAAGGCTTGGTTCATTTCTCCCCCCTGCCCCCACCCCCTCCCTTACCACCCACTCCACCCCCTCCCGCTCCCCCCCACCCTCTCAATACCCAGCAGAAACTATTTTGCCCTTATCTCTAATTTTGTTGTAGAGAGAGTATAAGCAATAATAGGAAGGAACAAGGGGTTTTGCTGGTTAAGATAAGGATAGCTATACAGGGCATTGACTCACATTGATTTCCTGTGAGTGTGTGTTACCTTCTAGGTTAATTCTTTTTGATCTAACCTTTTCTCTAGTACCTGGTCCCCTTTTCCTATTGGCCTCAGTTGCTTTTAAGGTATCTGCTTTAGTTTCTCTGCATTAAGGGCAACAAATGCTAGCTAATTTTTTAGGTGTCTTACCTATCCTCACCCCTCCCTTGTGTGCTCTCGCTTTTATCATGTGCTCATAGTCCAGTCCTCCAAAGGGAAATTTTCAAAAGTGGATAGCATATTTATTCAAAGAGTTTTAATTTCTATCTCTGCCCTTTCTATCCTGCTTTCCCTATAGTTTGCTGTTTTAAAAACACCCTTTTGACTAGGCACCAGTGATTCAAGCCTGTAATCCTACTCAGGAGGCAGAGATCAGGAGGGTCTCAGTTCGAAGCCAGCTGAGGCAGGTAGT